CGAGCATGTGGGATGGCCAGGTAATCTCGGAGGGGCCCGGCTTGGATCCAATCAATCCATGTCCCAGAACTGAGAGAGATGCCAATTGCTGCTTGCCGAGCGCTTAACAACAACCGGCCGAGTGTCTACGAAGTATGTTCGAACCATGTCAACGTACAGCCAAAGGTGAAAAGGGTTTGAGCGTCAAAAACAAATAGTCTCACAGCACCTGAAGTCACTCGCTGGCATCAGCAAAGCTGCACCTCGGGATATGAGCCAAGGCCACTTTGGGCTGGCGTTGCCAAAAGCAGTTCAGCATCGTACAGTATGTCCAATTCGCCTGGATGCTGGCAATGTTCTGATCATTGGCCCAGGGAAGCCAGTGTTTAAAAGGCTGCCATGTCAGAGAACCTCATGAGCTTGGGGACAAAGGGAACTCACGAAATGTCACAAAAAAGAAGAAAACAGGGGCGACTCACGAAATGTCCCATGTCCAGCAAGGGTAAGGGAAAGTCAGTGGGACTGTATTTCGTGGTGGTTCTACATGTGGACGAGTGCATTGTGTGCAAAACAGTTACGGAGCGTTCAGCTTCTCCAAGCGATGCCCTCAAACATAGCTGCCATGCGTTTGCGTTGCGATCCCCCGGCAGGGAGCCTGTCTAGGTCTCCCCGTAGTGCCCTTTTACCATTTCTTTTTTGGGGGAGGGTTCAAAGAATCGTTGGTACCAACTTGTTCGAACCTCCAAAAATTGGAGGACCTATATAGATGTTTATTTGGGTCCAAAAGGAAGCCCCCGTGACCCGGGCAAAGCTTGTCTCTCTGCCTAGCAGAGCACGATGCCCGTCGTTTCTGCTTACAATTTTGCAATTTAGACACGCGTTCGAAGCAGTGAAGTTTAAACTCGCAAGCCTTTGTAAGAGCAAAACGTGTTTGCCCTTCTGTATTACAGACACGATGTTTGCAATCTAGCAAACAGCCAAATATGTTTGACTGATCTTGCCTTGCTGGATTGCATGCATTACATGATTGTTTAACAGTGTGCATTCGCCAAGGTAAAAGGGCTCACAAGGCGCATAGTGGTGTTGGCTTGGACCAACTCCACTTGGTCAGTCTGGTCCATTCACTCTGCAACAACTTGGCAGCAGCTTGTCCAGATTATCTGTGTGGGGTCATAGCTCGCTGGCAAGAGGAGCTTGCTCTTGCAAGTCCTTTAGGGCCTTTGCTTAATTCAGGTTGGCAAATAGTGCTAAGTTGGCTTGTCCAGTTTACCTCCAGTTTACCTCATGAGTTGGTGCAGTTTACCTCCAGTTTACCTCATGAGTTGATGCAGTTTACCTCCAGTTTACCTCCAGTTTACCTCCTGTTTACCTCCTGTTTACCTCCAGTTTTCCTCCTGTTTACCTCCAGTTTACCTCCAGTTTACCTCCAGTTTACCTAAGTTGGCAAATAGCTGAGTTAACCTCCAGTTTACCTCATGACCCAAGCGCAGTCGGTTCATTTCGAGTCCCAGATCCCTTTTGCGCAGTCGGTGTCTCGCAGGATTTCTTCCCAGGACTCGGATGGATGATGGCGCCTCGGTGGAAAGTCCCGCAATCGGGGACTTCCAGGCATACTGATGACCCCGGATGAACAAGCCCGTCCTATTCTCACTTGTTCACAACCGACCCATTTGACCTTTTGGTTTGCCAATTTTGGGTTAGGGGGCGGTAGGGATAGTCATTGGTCATTCTGCAAATGTTACCAGGAGTTTGACCTAAACCGTGACCCGCGCAAGCACTTGGGACATTGGACAAAGGCATGGGCAGTCGGTACATCAGGTAGAACCCATAGCGGAAGTAATGCGACTTTAGAGGCCTGGAGTATTCCCCCAGTTCAACGGATGATTCATCCTTTGGGTTGGAAGGAGGGGCGTTTGGTGTGTCTAGTCATGGTTCCTTTTCGGCTCAGAGTTTCGGGAGCTCGTGGATGTTTGATTTCCAGTTTCCGCTTCGAGATCGCTTGGAGTGAGGATTTGTCCTGTGGCTGTGTCCTGAGATGGGAAAGACAACTAAACAACTGTTTGTGGGCGTGGGTGTGGGTGGGCGGGGACTGCCCCCTTGCGTGCGAGCGCGGTCTAGATCATCCACTCTATCCTAGGGAAATACGCACTCCCCAGAAAACTAACCCTCCCACTAATCAACATGGAACCTGACAGGGGAGTCCTGGAAAACCATGTTCCTTTTAAAGGGAACCCCCTGTCAGGTTAAACGTTAATGGGTGGGAGGGTATGTGGAACCATCATGGGTACGTAGAGTCTCCATGACCCGTTAAAAATGGGTCCATGAATTTTGGGTAACAACCCCATTTTTTAAGGGTCCTTAAGGAGACTCCAGGTACAGGAATCTCCTAATGGATGAATTTCAGCTGGCCCCCAAACATGGGGACCGAAAGACTTGCGAGAAGCATGGAGTTGTCTCCAAAGTCGGGAACCTCCGGAACGGGCGGTTCTCCTTTCGGTTCCCTTTAAAGACAATCCCAAAATGGGTACTCCAAACACAGCTAGGTCCCCAGTAGTGCCCTTGCTCACCCTTTTTTGGTTGGGAGGGTTCCCCAAATAAAAAAGACAAAAAAAAGACTTGGTACCCTTATTCTAACCTCTCTACTGGAGGACCTAGACAGCCCACGCTAAGCAAACCTTAGCGGGCGCAAGCGAGGACAAAGACCTCTGGTCTGAGCTTCGCGACCGATGGGCTGTGCCTCCAGCCTGGCTTCGGGGACCTTCAAATGGGCCAACACAGGGCTCCTTAAAAGATCTCCATTTTGCCACCATTTGAAACATGTTGCTATTTCAACACCAAAATTAAAGTGACACCACCATTTACAAGTTGCAATGTTCAGGTGTATAATGTAAGGATCCCTGCAACACCAAGCGAAGCTCAAAGGGTTTTCATCTGGGGTCTTTTTTAATTATATAGATTCGAGCCAGGATCAAACATGCCGGGCAAGACTTGAGGGTCGTTTTGGGCATAGTCCTACTGGAGGCTATTTGGGGCTTCCCCCATGTGGATGACAGCAGCCTTCCATGTTTGTATGAACATGCTTCGACGATTTTGCGGAAATAGGCGATCATGCGCATGTGTGAAAGTTTATATATCGTTTAGCGAAGGAGCCTGCAGTGCTAGGAAGAACAGGTGGCATGCATTCCATATTCCTTACCAGCATAAAGGCAACCCTGCTTCCGAGTATGCAATCATAGGCTTGCGGCAATTATTACGGCAACCCTGCACGGAAGTTCTTCAACACTGCATTGGTGTGTGTGTGTGTCTTCTGCGGGTACTCTTGTTGGGGCTGGTTTAGGGAGACCACAATGACACAATTTCGGGGTCCCCCTATGACACATACCCAACTGTGTTGCCCAGTACTATTCCTAGGTCCCCCAGTAGTGCCCTTTCTCTCCCCTTTTTCGGGGGAGGGTTCCCCTACTAAATAGACTGCAGAAAAGAATCGGGTACCCCTATTCTAACCTCTCTGCTGGAGGACCTAGATTCTCTCAAGGTGGGAAGTAGCTCGCTTTGAGCACGCGCGCCCAAGCTTTGGAAGGGACTTGAGACAGAACGCGACTCTGTCACGCCTGCCCAGGACGATAGGAAGCCACCAAAACCTTTGTCTAGGTTGGTCTTTTCATGGCTGTTGTTGGGAAACATTTTGCATTTTTGCTTATTGTGGTTTAGTGGTTGAAATCCAACCACTTAACTGCGAATATTTTAACTTTTGCTCCCCTTCCAATGTCAACCAAGTTTTCTTTGAGCTTGGAACTCTTCGTTCTTGAACATAGCTGCCTCCCCACAGACCAACAAACAGTTTAGTTTTTTGCAGCGGGGGCCAAGAGTCTGGGACATTCCCAACCAACGATGGCAGCGGCAAGCAACTAGTTGAAACGAGGCTGCTCGAGTAAAGAACATGAGGAGGTTACACCATACTATGCACGAGAAAAGCTTTGGTGCTGTTAGGAAGCCTTCGGCGAAACAAGTAAGTCTCCATGATATGTGGGCGTGTTGTCTCAAACTGAGCGGGACACCCTCAAGCTGTTCTAGGTGCTATATAAATGGCCTGCATTTGTGTTGTTGTTCCCCAAAAGGAGACCAAAAGGCGGGTACTTGTTCAATTTATCCGGAAGCAGCCAGCGAAGCACCCGTGCTCACCCGCTCTCTGGCCATCGGGTTTTCCATTGGTTGAGCTTCCAAAAGATGAACCTGTTGGTCTCCGAACCAGTGCGGTGAGACGGAGTCTCTATTTCCACATGTACCTGGAGTCTCCATGACCCTTCAAAAATTGGTCCATGACAACATTATTTGGGTAATGACCAACCATTTTTTAAGGGTCCTTAGGGAGACTCCAGGTACCTTTATCTTGAAGGTCCCCTATTTTGACTTAACCCATTTCGACACCTTCCATGGGTTTGCCCCATCGGGGGCCTGAGCTTAGCAGCCGAAGCCATTTGAAGCAGTACAGAGGAGGGGACTTGCAAGCGTCCGAGACCGCAGCAAGCTTACCTGCACAGGGCTCCTTAAAAGATCTCCATTTTGCAACCATTTAAAACATGTTGCTTTTTCAACACCAAAAATAAAGGGAAACCACCATGTACAAGTTGCAATGTTCAGGTGTATAATGTAAGGATCTCTGCTGCAGGTAAACTTATCATGAATAGTTTGTTTGAATGGCAAGTCCTTAGCAAACAGGTGTGATCATCCCGGAAATCGTTTTGCAAGCCGACCTGCTAAGCTCTGACAATGCTCTGCAAACACCAACTTGACTTGAGCCACTACATTTCTCATGGTTACAATAGGACAGCAATTCTTTGGACACATCATGGTTGTTGTTGGGAAACATTTTACATTTTTGCTTATTGTGGTTTAGTGGTTGAAATCCCCCACTTAACTGCTAATATTTTAACTTTTGCTCCCCTTCCAACGTCAAGGCATATTCACCCACGTCGAGCCAGACTCCAGGAAAAACGAGCCACTCCTCGGGGTTCTGCGGCGTTTTGGGCAACCCCCACGAGTTCCCCCGCTCAATGCACGCCTGGCGACACCTTGCACGCTTTGTGCCACTGGTCTCCGCTGCTGAAGGCTTTAGGCGGGCAGGGTGTCGGCATAGCGGCCGCATCAGTCTCACAATAAGTTCGTCACTGTTGCAATCTTTCACCCAAGACACGTCATAGTTCCAGCAGTATTGAACGTCAGAGGGTTGGGACTTTGCTCAGAGCTTTCTTTATCCATGAAAAGCTGAAATGCAGACTGAAAATCTGCGCGGGCGCCACCTTTTCAGACAAAAGCCTTGTCAGAAAGCCCGTTATCTCTTTAGTGATATGGCATGCTGGTCACACAGCTTTGCTTCCCGTGCCCAAACCTTCAAGCTGAGTTGATGCTGACATTTCGTTTGCTTCTCCAATTGCCTCCGGGATCCAGCATCGCAGCTTGTGTGTGTGTGTGTCTGTATTTCTGCGTGGGTGTTGTGTGTGTGTGTGTGTGTGTTTGTTTGTGTGTGTGTTTGTGTGTTTGTGTGTTTCTGTGTTTCTGTGTTTCTGTGTGTCTGTGTTTCTGTGTTTCTGTGTTTCTGTGTTTCTGTGTTTCTGTGTTTCCGTGTTTCTGTGTTTGTGTGTGTGTGCCTATGTGTGTGTGTGTCTGTGTGTATGTGTGTGTGCGCGTGTGCGCGCGCCCGCGTGCGTGCGTGTGCGCTTGCGCGTGCGCGCGCATGCGCGTGTGCACGCGCGCGAGTGGGTCTGTGTGTTTGATTGATTGATTGATTGATTGATTGATTGATTGATTGATTGATTGGTTGGTTGGTTGGTTGGTTGGTTGGTTGGCTGGCTGGCTGGCTGGCTGGCTGGCTGGCTGGCTGGCTGGCTGGCTGGCTGGCTGGCTGGTTGTTTGTGTGTTTGCTTGATTATCTGCTTGCTTGCTTGCTTGCTTGTTTGTTTGTTTGTTTGTGGTGTGTCCATCCGTTTGTTTGTTTGTTTCTTTGTTAGTTTGTCTGTCGGTCTGTCCAGTCTATCCTGCCCTGTCCCGTCCCTGTCTGTCCTGTCCTGTCTGTCTGTCTCTTTTGTCTGTCTGCTTGTTAGTTTGTTAATTTGTCAGTTTGTTAGTTTCTCAGCTAGTATTTGTTTACTTATCTTGTGTATGGTTGTTTGCTTTGTTCATGCTTATTTGCTTACCTATGTATATTAACTTGCTTAATCTGGGGTTTGGACCTGTTCGGTGAAATTAGGCTAAAATAAGCGTTTTTGTCGTCCACTTCGAGCCTTGTTCCATGTTGCTCGGGCTTTGGGGTAGGGGAAAAACACTTTTTGAGCCGTTTGGCTCCGTTGGAGAATCAGGTCGGACCAGGTCAGTCATGCTGTGTGCCGTATGCGGGCATTCACTTGCTCATGTTGGCGCGCTTGGTGTTTGAGAGAAGTGTTTTTGACATGTTTTTCAGCCCAAAAGTTCAATAAGTGTTTTTGGTTTCGGGGGCAAAGTCAAAATAACTATCGGCTATCAGGCCGCAAAAAACACTCATTTTGCTTTGATGGAGGCCCGCCACATGGATTTGGGCCGTGGATTGCTAAAGATACGTTCCTAAATTGCAGAGTTGATACGCTTGATAGAAAACGAATTGAAAAAACTGTGTATTACAGCATGGACATGTGCCATGTATTTTGAGGAGTATGCAAGAAACACTTCTTCCGAAACTAAACGCGGAGTGAACATTTCGTGGACACAGTGTTGCCGCCGCCAGGCTACGTCAGTAAATGAAGTGCGAGCGGCCTTGTGCAGACTGCAAAAACTCCAAGAAGTGTGCATAGGCTGTAGGCACAAGTTCAGAAACACTTCGCAAACAAGAAACAAGCACCGTACCAAAATGACTTTTTCACACGACTAGCCCCATTCAAAGGCACTGTTGAGCCCACGCGGCACACCACCCCGTTTCAAAATGTTTCAAATGACTCTGGTCGAGCGCAACTTTCAAACGAACTCAAACAGCAGCCTGCTGGACCTGCAAACATCATGCAAGTGCCCGTATAAGAGTTTTACGGGGAATCGTCTCATGAACGTAAGCATGTAACACATTATGCTTGAGCGATATCCCTTGTTTCATGTGCAAAAAGGAGGGGAGGCATCTGCGGGCAATGCGGGGCAAACTGGAGATCCTGAGAATCACAAATGTGACAAGCGACCACTGTGCAAATATGCTATACATATATACGGCTTGGCAAGTTTGCTAAAGTGCACAGGGGTGTGGATAGCTCCTCTTTTGCAGCTTTGTAGACGTGATTTCAGATTTCAGGATTTACGGGCGGATTCTTTCAACAATTGCAGGGCCACTGGTGAAGATTCAATGAGATTTGGGGCAAGCCAAAGTAAAAAGTTTGGGCCCAATTCTTAGTCTCGCGGCTTGGCTTCCAGAAGCACAGTGGTGATGAGTTCAAATATGGTGGCAACAACGGGAGGGGCTGGCAATTCATGTGCGAGCTTTGGCAGCGGCCCGGTCCTTACCGATGCTTTTGAACATTTTCTCACTTTTAAGGGATGCTATGGGCATGACCTTTTCGGGCTTGGGGGCATTCACTCAAATGTTGGATTTCGCAAACAAAGACATTTCATTCCACGGCAAACTCCGGCAATCAAAGCAGTGCTCATTGGTATGTCGGCCAAAATGTTGAAAAAGTCAGGGCAATCACCATTTTGGTTCACACTCGAAGTCACCAAGTCACTAGGGCGGGTGTGGTGAAGCAACGTTTGGGGACAGGTAAATCAATTTTTTTGGCCAGGCTCCTCATCTCAGCACTCAGTCTAGTATACAGGGCAAACTAGCTTACATTCCAGGAGATGGTGAGAAAGCAAGGAGTACAAAAGTTTTCTGTATTTCTTTTCTCTCTGTTTGTTTGTCGTTTACTTTGGCGGTGATGTCCTTGATCGGTGCGGGTTCACGCGAAATGTTCAATCTGCGTTGTTTTCTTCTGGGGCAAAGTCAACTTCTTAATTCCGGACAAGCTTTTCATAATTGCGGATCTCGAGCAGCAATTCACGGTGAAGGAAGCCAGATAGTGTGCGCACAATCAATCTCCAAAAACATGGAGCCAGTTCCAACAGCATGGCTAATTTAAAGGGTGCGCGCACGGTGCCGGACCTAGGCATTTGTTTTAGCAATATTCTGAAGTGTTGCGCGGGTGCAACAAGGACTCAAAACCAGCATGTTCTATGTGCAGGAGCACTGGTTTAAAGCTGATAGTCATCCAAACTGGTTGGGGTGTTCTGGATCGACTTGCCTTGCCAGTTCACATTTAGACACTGGAGATGTTGCCGGGTCCTCTGAAACTACTTTGGATGGCCTGCGTTAACTGGTTCTACGGGTCAGGGTCACAGCAAGTTGGTTCGAAAGCGCAAGAGAGGCAGGCTTTTTGGGGGTGCGCCCGCTAGACCTGATTGGACTTGGATAGTTTGTTGGCGTCGGCTTTCCCAAATGCAAGTGCGGGCAAACAATTCTCCGGGGCTGCCATCCTCCCTCTTTAAGCCAGCAACTGTCAGAAGGGCCAATGAATCCATGGAGCACAGACTACCCTGGCAACATCAATCTCTTCATATGGTAAACCGCCGCACACAAACACACACATGGCAACATGGCGCGCTCAGAAAATCGGCAAAGTTCTGGCAGAGTTTGCAAAGTTTGGGCAAATTTGGGCAAATTTGGCCAAATCGGCAAAGCTCTGGCAAACTTGGTATAGTTTCGGCAAATCTTGCAAAATCAGCAAAGTTCTTGCAAAATCGACAAGTGCTCACAAGGTTGGCAAAGCTCTAGCACATCTCAGGAGGCCTAGATCTGCCAAAGTTCCGGCAAAGTTCGCAAAGAGTTTGCAAAGTTCGGTCAAGTTTTTCCAAATTTGCAAAGTTCTGGCACATCGAAAAAGTCCTCGCACAGTTCGCAAATTTCTGACAAAGTTTGCCAAATTGGCAAAGTTCCGGCAGATTGGCAAAGTCCTCGCAAAGTTCTCGCAAAGTTTGCGAATTGGCAAAAATCGCAAAAAACTCACCAAATTGGCAAAGTTCTGGCAAAGTTCTGGCAAAGTTCTGGCAAAGATTGCAAAGTTCTGGAAAAACTCGCAAAATGGCCAAGGTCTGGCAAACACCTCGCAAAATTTGCAAAGCTCTGGCAAATTGCAAAATTGGCAAAGTTCTGGCAAAGTTCGCCAAATTGGTGAAGATCTTGCAAAGTTCGCAAAGTTCTTGCAAAGTTTGACAAATTGGCAAAGTTTGCCGAATTGGCAAAGATCTCGCAAAATTGGCAAAGATCTCGCAAAATTGGCAATGTTCTGGCAAACTTCGCCAAATTGGAAAATTGGCAAAGTTCTGGCAAAGTTCGCCAAATTGGGGCCAACTTCGCAAAGTTGGCAAAGATCTTGCAAAATTGGCAAAGTTCCGGCAAAGTTCGCTGCCAAAGTTCCGGCAAAATTGGCAAAGTTCCGGCAGAATTTGCAAAGTTCCGACAGAATTGGCAAAGTTCCGGCAAAATTTGCAAAGTTCGCCAAATTGGCAAAGTTCCGGCAGAATTGGCAAAGTCCAAATCGGCAAAGTTCCGGCAGAATTGGCAACGTTCCGGCAGAATTGGCAAAGTTCCGGCAGAATTGGCAAAGTTCCGGCAGAATTGGCAAAGTTCGCCAAATTGGCAAAGTTTGGGCAGAATTGGCAAAGTTCCGGCAGAATTGGCAAAGTTCCGGCAGAATTGGCAAAGTTCCGGCAGAATTGGCAAAGTTCCGGCAGAATTGGCAAAGTTCGCCAAATTGGCAAAGTTCGCCAAATTGGCAAAGTTCCGGCAGAATTGGCAAAGTTCCGGCAGAATTGGCAAAGTTCCGGCAAAATTGGCAAAGTTGGCAAAGTTTGCAAAAATGTTGGGTCCGAACACTTATTTTGGCACGAATTGGCAATGAAAACACTTATTTTGGCAAGTTTCGGAGGGCAAAAACACTTATTTTTGTCAAAAAAAAGCATGCAGCCCAAATTGGCAAAGTTCGGGCAAAATTGGCAACGTTCTGGCAAAGTTCGCCAAATTGGCAAAGTTCGGGCAGAATTGGCAAAGTTCGCCAAATTGGCAAAGTTCCG